CGCAGGGAAATAAAGCGGAAGACAAAGGGGACGGTGCGTTGGTACGCGCGCCTACCGGTCAGCACGGCAGATGGATAGATAGATAGATAGGTAGGTGGGTAGATAGGTAACCCGAGACTCGACGAGAGGTCAGCCTTCGCAGATTGACGGACGCGATAAATCGAGCCGCGGTGACATCGGGCTCGAGTGACGCGTAGCGAGGCGAAGCGAGGCGACGCGAGGCGAGGCGACGCGGCGCGATGGGACGCGACGCGACAACCCACTGACCTGCGAATCCAATGCATAGAGTTTCTCTCTCGTCGTGCACCGTCGCTGCATCAATGCGCACCGACACACACCGTGCACGTACACATATATAAACACATATATAAACTAGCGAGGAGAGAGAGAGAGCCTCGTAAATATTCCTGTTTATACGTCACCCACGTAATGCTCTGGCCGTGCCCTGTCGCGTACGGGGGTGTGCGGCATCGAGCACTGGAATTCTGATATAGAACGAGGCAACGTGCATCTATGACACGATATATCCGGATATCGTGGATATGGCGGGCATCGGGAAATCTCGGTCTATATCGAATTTCAAACTCGATCGTAAAAATGCAGCAGGGGGATTCGTGATCGAGAAGCGATTTCCCGCCAGAAGTGAGGAGGTACGGTTCGCGGTCAAATCGGGAGAGCAATGACGATATACGTGATAGCATGCCATATTAAATGTGGCTTTTACGATGGAATCTGTCGACGTTATTCACTCTTGAAAGATTTCTTTAGAATGATCCTGAAAGAGCGATAATTTTAATATAAAAATTTGCAAAAATTTTGCATTCTAATTTTTTAAACAATAATTGTACTTACTAGATCATGATTTTTTAAAATACAATAGCGTGTCTACCTTTACCAGAAGAAAATTCGAAAGAGAAAAGCGAAGGAGGCCGCGAGAAAAGTAAAGCGAAAAAGTGATGACGAATGGAGAGCGAGAGATTGGGTTCGCGAGATAAAGAAGGTCGACAATAATACCCTCAGTGTGCACCCTCGATCCCGTGGTAGCGGACGCAGCAGGCAGTCCCATTATATTGTTTTACCTCGACCGGAGATCAGCGAATACGCCGCGGAAGGCTGAATATACGTGCGCTTTTGATGAGCAAACGAGAAAACCAGCGGAAGAAGGAGACTCGCGAGGGAGACTCAAACCCATGGGTCGCGAGTACGACAAGAGCCTAGACAGTGATAAAAGTGCATTAATCCGACATTCGTGACGTGGAGAGATTGAATGTGCGAGATGCCATCAAATCTAGAAGCAATCATTGTCGTTTAAAGCCCCTCTATAATATTAGTTGAACTCAATTCTCTTTGATTTATTTCGAAACTAGAGATGAAAGTATCAAGATTACGATTATCGGAAATAAATCCAAAATCGAAGAAAAGTCGGAAGATTAATTAATCTCGACGATGCTAAAATTAACGAAATTCTCTCATTTACAATATGCTGTGATTGAATTCATTCTATGTTGCATACATTTAAGTTATACTCGCTGAAAAATAATTTTAATTAAAAATTATAAAAATAATAACATCACACCATGCCAAATGCGTTCATGTACATCGTCAATAATTTGCATACGCGGCGATATTGAAATCGTAGATGCGTTTGAGATTCCGCTTGCACATGTTTCCTCTGCAGTGACGCCCGTTCGGAATCCGGAGGTGAAAAAACAATGCTGCAACGACCCGAACCCCTTTCGTTTCGATCACGATGGAAACTCTTCCCGCGCTCTATCCTATTTCTTCTTGCTCTCTTTGTTTCGCTGGTCTCCTATCTCCCCTCGATCCTCTTTCTCCTTCTCTGTCTCTTTCTCTCTTCCTCTGTTTCCTCCATCCGCCTATTCCGTTCTCGTCACCCTCTGGTAAAATTCTTTCGCATGCCTCTACGTCTCGTGCAACTCGTACAATGCAACCCCGGGATGCATTGTGGATCAGTCTCACCAGACAAACCAGTGACTTCAACACGATATGACAACTGCATGATGTACATGTAACCGGTCATATTTTGAGAGATTTTTTCATTTAATGTCATGAAAGTTACATCTAACTGTGTATCTCAATATCCTTCATGATCCTTCGATGATATCGAGGATAGTATTAAGAAACAATACCATTTATCTTATCATTTAAATAAGATATTTTTATGTGAAAATGTTTCGACGCTTTATAAAAAAATACGTTACGAACAAACTCGTCAAGTTATTAATCAAGTTATAAATTATTCTAATTAGTTCAATTACAATTTATTTTCGTGTAAGAAATTTCTTTTTGAAAATTTCTTATACGAATAAAGCAAAAATAAAGATTTCTCTCTGTAATAATATAATAATTTAGTCTTTATAATTATTGGAAATTGAATAATGTGTTTTAAAAAAATGAGTTAGTAAAAAAGCGACAGAATTATCTTCAAGGTGACTACAGTTTTTTATCTAAGATATTATAATCGTTTCAAGGGAAATTTGTTCTACTGATCTATTTTCCGTAACTCGCGTTAAGGAGGAAATGAAAGTATCGGTATTCTTTGCGATCAACGACAAAAGCATAAAAATATAAAAAAAGGGGAAAATACATCTGTGTGTACTCTCGCCGGGTTCTTTATCGCGAACTCTTTATAGAAAGCGCGAAGAAAGTGCGATAACGCAACGTTCTCACCCTTTCACGACACAAAGGTATCGACGTTATCGAGAGAGAACCGTGAGAACCGCTGAAGACTTAAATAACTCCCTTTGAGGAGCGCATATACGTGAAAGAGAGTGCCTAGAAGGATATGACGATGAAGGCTTGATTTCAATATGCGTTGCAAGTAATTAATTAAAACGATTTTCTCGTTAATAACGAAAATTGTGAAGTGGAATTTTTAATATTAATGATATGCAAAAAAAATATCTTTTGAACAATTTATTATTTATCTCATATTTTCCTCGTAAATAAAATTAGGTATTTAAAATCACATTGTCTAGAATCGTGCGTTACTTGGAAAATGGTGATTGTTACAAAAACAACCAATCTTGTTCAATATAGAGAGTAGCATGATGATTTGAGGAAGAAATGCTCAGTTTATACTGTATGAAATTTTTAATAAAAAGTGGAAAAAATCCTTAGAGTCTGAATCTAACGTAGAATTATCTGGAATATTAAGATTTATATGAAGCAGGCCAGATCGAAAAATCTGCCCCCTTATCGAGGGGAGACAGGCGGCGCCTGCAGCTCGCGCGATGATTGCGCCGTAATCTGCTTTCGCTTTGCTTTTCCGAGGAACAGGGAGAGAGTGAGGGAGGTAGAAGGGTGGTTGTTGCGTGATTGGCCGGGGGCGTCGTTGGGTCTTCCGTTTCGACCGATACATCGACAACAGTCGAGATACTTAGGGAGGATACGCGCGAACGGGATAGATGCTCAAGGAGAGAAAGAGGAATTTCGACGGCAAGACGAGGATGGGGATGAAACAACCCTTCTGACACGGGTTATCCTATAAACGGTGCCACCCTCGCAGCAACGTACCGATAATCCGGCCCCCGGGGCCCGCATGCGGTTGAACGCTCGCAACAGTTACCATATTTGATTGTATATCTCTTTCTCATCCCCTTTAACAAGACAGGAATAATACAAAATAATATGCGCTGCATCGCAAAAATCTTGTAAAAACACGTGTTATTTTTATGCAAGAACAATTTTATGTAATATTATTAATAATTCGTAAAAGAGATCGTTTCTTTCCAGTCATGATGTTATAATCGTAATAATTAGTCGTATAAACATAACAATACGTATATGTGAACGATAGAAAAATATGTTATTGATTCATACATGATCTGCTAATTTATATCAAGAGCATAGCACCCCTAATTTTTAATTTATTTTTTTCAAAACGATTTTTATGTTATTAACATATGCATTCAATAATTTATTTAAAAATATTTATTATATAAGTTTGGCTCGAAGAATTTTGCTTAAGAAATAAAATGTATTATAATCATACAATTATATCACGAAAAAAAATCTTAATTGCAAAATCTGTTATAAAAAATATCCTCATCAATCACACTTTATCAAGCTTCATCAAGCGCACTTAGTCAAGACGCATAATTGTATATATTTGTGCAAGATCGAACAATCGAAAATGAAACTCTCCTCGCAAGAAGATCTGCGGGATGAACGTCGCGATAAATAAAAAAAAAATCAGGGAAGCTGTTTCCCGTTGCGTCTGACACACCCCGTGTCGAGACGGTGGCGACGGGAAAACGCAGAGAAAGAAATCGCACGCGTTTGATGTGCCGGCAAAGGGAATGCGGTGCGACAGGGGGAGGGGGAGGGGGAGAAAAGGGGAATACGATGTCGGAGGTGGAGTATTTTCGCGTGGGTTGGTCGGTCGACTGCAACCACGTTTCTGCGCAACCCTCCGCATCCCCCGCCAACCCCGGCCTATTCGACCCCTCTGTTTCTCTCTCTCTCTCTCTTTCCCTCTCTTTCTCTAACCTTTCTCTCTCTCTCTCTCTGTCTCTATGTATTTCACTCCGCATTTCTCTGTTCCTCTACGCTTCGAAGACCGCGCTTAAACGTTACCGGAAAATTATTACCGGAAAAGCGTTGCGCACACACGCGTGCGGCAAACCGCGGGACCCACCGACGGAATTACATTGATATTAGTATCGTTTGGTCCGACAAATTAATTAATTAAAACGCTCCCGTCCCGTCTGCCGCCTGTGGCCACTACGCCACACGCGTATTTGCGTTTCACGCTAACGCTTTAACGCAGTAAACATCGAAATACCGTACGCCAACAATTGTCGAAGGCTTTCATCGTGCGCGAAATCTTTCTCTCTAACGGCCTTGTCTAGAAATACGGAATGCCTTTAACAAACCGCAGTACTATTGAGCTCTTGTTTCTTCGTAAGAGTCATTAAACAATCGAAAACCCGTGCTCATTAAAAAAAAATACGATAATTATGATGGCATAGACTTACCTTTCTTCGCGTGCAATATGTCCGCTGGATCTGGTGGCAGGGATGAACAATGGCTCGGACTCAAACTAGATTGTATCGATGAAAAGGGACTTCCCGCACTCGACGGATACCTAAAATAATAATTTATTCTTAGCAAATGTATATGATAAGTGTAATTATAATACGAAATTATACTTCTGTAAAAATTTTTTCTTAATTTAAAAAAGAGTAATTATTCTTTATATTTCTTTTTATATTGAATATAGAAAATTCCAATCTGTGATTGAATTCCAACATGAGATTAAAAAAGAGCATTTTAATATATTATTATAAACTCTATAAAACTAATAATATGCTATAACATATATATATGACGTGTTAAAAAAAACGAATATATTATTGTAAAAAAGCTGGAAAGAAATTATCGTCTTTTTGTGTCGGATGAATTATAGTATGTTTTGGAACAGATATGTACTCTGCACAATGCTGTTTACTAAGCACTGAGTATATTTGAATTTTAGTTTTACCAGGGATTGGGACGCGGCCAGCCGGTGGTCTGTCCATTTAATAGCCTGAGTTTATCGTAAACGCTTTCCGCTGGACTGCCGGCACCGACGCCAACCCCCACGGCGCCCACCCCTTGTTGTTGTTGCTGCTGCTGCCTCTGCTCCTTTTGCGCGGCCAGATTTCTCAGTACCCTGTTGATCGAGGACACCTGGAAGCCGAATATATTTACCGGTGTATAAAACAGGTTAACCATAATACATGGCATGATTAAATGAACGTATAACCGTTACGCTTAACTTACTCATGCTTAACATACTATCGTATATTTTGAGGTGCTTCTTGCGAAAAAGATGCGCAGTGCAATTTTTACTACGCCGATGCAAAGAAATAAAAATACAAATAAAAATCTTGTGTCTTTATTAATGCATATAGTAAAGTTGCCAAGGCACTACTATGCAAATTTAGAAAAAGTAAATATTTTAAAATCCTATTAAAATCAAATTTCGTCGATATTAAATGAAAAATAAGATTCCACCTGTTTCTACTGTTTAACTGTCGGTAGCAATTTATTTTTAATCACCGACGATATAAAATATCAAGTAATTGGATTTTTTCTTTGATTTACAAAGATTGTCAAAGAATTTTTAGAAATATTAACGAGAGATTTTAATAGCATTATTTATATTATATCTAAATTTAATCACAACCCTATTTTTTTCATATTGCTTTTCTTACTTTTGCAGCTTTTTCATCAGCTAAATTACTATCTTTTTTTCTCTCATCCCAAAGTTTGAAATAACAAAAAATATCGCAAAAAAAATTTCCTTTTTAAGGAACATCTTTGGAGAATTATCGAGTATTCCATACACATCTCTCTCTCTCTCTCTCTCTCTCTCTCTCTCTCTCTCCTTAATATCGGATTTATTATAAACACGAAATGTTCGGAGAGCGATGAAGATTCTCTTCCCGGAAGGAGGAGGTAGAGACGTAGAGGCGCTTCTGCCCGATGAAATGCGACGAGAGCGGTAATTAAAACGATGCGGTGAGCGGCTGCCGACGCGGCGCGCTCTGCACGAGGGAGTTAATTACCTCCGCCTTCAATTATATCCGTCTCCGCGCCACTCCAAGGGGACTTGGCTTCCACCGACGTAAGTACGCACTCGCGCATTCGCGGCGCGTGAGTTTACGCTCCCTACGCGCCGTATTCGCGTATACCGAAACTCGCGATCGCACTTAAGTGCGATAACGCCGCAGTCTATCGTGTTCGATATCCCTGCAATATGAAATGTTTCAACAAGAAATTTCCGGGACGACAAATTTCGCGTTACACGTGTATCGCGAGTATACATATCATTTTTGAACTTTAATCCCTAGCTAAAAGTTCAAAATAAAAGATCCGTATCTACTAAAAATTTTTTATTAGATTACTTTTTATCCCATCGCTTTTTAGATAAACCTTCTAATTATTAAGTTTTATATTTCATTTTTGCTCATAAATATAATCTTGGACTGATTCCTACTTGCGTAGAACGAAAATGAAGTTCAAAACTTTTGTTTATTGCATAATGCAATATAACAATTTTGAGCGTATATATATGCGATTATGGGAATGTCGTGGGATGAAATATCGTGGGAGCGAAAAATTTACGATGTCCTTTAAGACGAAGTCGCTCTTTTTATTTTCGTATCTTTTATTTGTCCTCTTTTGCAGGCTTTCTTCGTCGCTTCTGTCACTTACAGCTCGTATAAATCCCGATAAAGTCGTAAAAGAATTCTCACGAAACTAAAGGGTACGTCCTCCTGCTGGCGATAGTTTTGCAATTTATTCCTTTGCATTTTTGTATTATACTACGCATGTCGTAGTAATCGATGCCCTATTAAAATGGAATAAAATATCAAACTTTTCAATTTGAATCTTTCACGTCATTAAAATCAAGAATTAATTATGGGATTCACAAGAGTTCTTTCGATATAAAATTCATTTTAATGGATGTGAGAATATAATCTTTTAGAAATAATACTCGTAGTAAAGTAACTGTCTACTTTCTAAATTAGAGACCCGACATTTTTATTAAGGCAAAGCAAACTTCAAATTTCAATACAATTGATAGAAATTTGATAAAAGCTTTTCTATAAAAATTCTAGATTTCTATATTTGAGAAGAAATTTTAGTAATTTTTCAATTCTTGAATAAACATCTCTTTAGCTCCTATCTTAATTTAGTTTTTTTTTCAAATTAAAATTTTTAAAGTTGTAAGAAAGAATATAGATTTTAAGATCTTCTTAAGATTTAAGATTTAGAATGAGATTTCATCGAGAAAAGTATTATAAGTCAAATCAATTTTAGTTGCGAAATAGAAAATTATTAAGAAATTTTGATATAACGAAAACATAAAATACAAGTCCTATGTATTCTTGTTTTTTACACTTAATAAAATCTCTTTTGAAAGATATCAAGAACTTTTCTGTAGAATTAAAAAAAAAAAATGTTACCAATTGTAAAAATCTAAGAATAAGATGTCAATACTTCACAACAACAAATCAATCATTAATTTATTATAAATACTAGAATAAGAAGTTATCAAAAAATTGAGAAACAAAGAAATATTTACAATTATTCATTGTATCTCAGTTGTTTTATTACACGCGTCGGATTAAAAAGCAAGACGAAAAAGGCGGACGCTGGCGAATACCAGTGACAGAACCGGATCGGTCATAGGAGATATTCGTTCCCTGGGGTTTGTTAGACCCGGTGTCAGGGTTCCACGGCATTGAAACGAGCTGACATCTCGGACCCACCACCGGAGCAGGAGCGAGAGTGTCGTCCCCCTCGGCGCCCACGACGGCCACCACAACCACCACAACCGCACGATCTCGTCGTGTCTCTCCGTCGCTGACGCGAAAGAGACGTCACCGGCACTCTCCCCTCGTCTTGTCTCCGACATCCACATCCGATGTCCAAAACATCCTGTCTCTCCTCGCTCTCCTCCGAAGATTCAAATGCCTTCCGTCAGCAAATTAACAACCTCCATGTGACGTAACAGAGATCCGAATAGGATGACCGATAGATGAAACTGAGGTCGAAAACGGAAACTCTCAATTTCTGTGATCTTAATTATTGTTACATATGTGTGATTGATATGATTCTTTCACAAACAGAAAATTATACAAGTTTCTATGCGATGACGTATGCTTTCAATCGGAAATCTATTATTAAAAATGACCATAATTTTTATGACAAATGCCATAAATATTCCAGAAAGAATATCACACATAAAGTGGACAACAAAATATTTTATTTTCTAATTTTACAGTGTTTTAATCTAGGTGATGTGTTAAATTTCTTGATATCAAATTTATTTTTTTACTGTGCTGTTCTTATCGGAGCGTAGAAATATTCATTACGCAATCTTTTCGATTAGGTAAGTCGATGATTCCGCGTCGCGCTGGTTAAGTTGGCCGATGTTGGCCGATTGTGAAAATCGATTCACAATGAAAAGTCGTTGTCGCGCACAAAGAAAGCACTTGGCGACAAAGCCAGAAACCCGACGAGCGACGGCTGCCTGTCAAGGGACAATCGGCGCCTCACGTGACATCGAGTGTCCGGACTATTTGACCGTTTTTTGATTGACGTTTACCGCAAATATCGTGCTGGCTGCTTCTCAACCGTTGCGATATATTTACGACGTATGTCACCCCCGTTATTATTCGTGAAGATCGTTATGCGTTGTGGAAATCGATACTACAATGGACCCGTTTTTGTGGCGAGCCAGGCAGGCACTTGCGAAACTACGAGACATTTCCTTCTTGGGCCGATCTCGAAGATATAAAAAGGTTCTTCCAGACGCATAATGTAAGCTATCCTACTTCTGAATTAAATTTTAATGACGGATTATTTGTTTTCAGAGCTGACTTTTATGAATCACGAACAACTCGCTAATAAAAGCGAACCCTTGATCTAAAAAATTCGAACGTCGTTTAATTCGAAAGAATATAAAAATTTGAAATAAATATACTCCTTTTTGAGAGTTATTTATTGGCGGAAATTAATTCAGAGTGTAATAATCTAAACGCTGGCATTAAGATGGGATAGAAAATGAAAGACACGCGGCCGAGAACTCGTATGTTTTATTGGCTTATCGTCGACAATAGGATTCTCGACACATTTTTGCACGGTTATAGAGCCGAGCGATGTGATACGCGAATAGCATATAAAAGGAACGTAGATATTATCCTTCATCCTTGTACGCGAGGCGCGCACAAAGGCGGACACGCGGCGAGGGCTTAAAACGCGGTACGAGAGGAAGAAGCCGGCATCGGATCGATGAAATTAGCATGAAGCGTGAAAAGCTCGAGGGTGGCCGATCTCTTAAAGAGGGTGCTGGATAGAGACGTCATAATATTGCTCTCACGTGACATCATCGAGATAGTTGTCCGACGGGAAATCTCTCTCTCGCCGCGAAAACCAGCATGGTGTTTCGAGAAAACTGCGATTTAACTATCTATAAAAGAGTTATAAAAATAATTTTGCACAATTGCACACATTACACACCATTAATACTCCTTTCAGGATACACGTAATTTTTTTTATACGGACGCAAATTTAGTAAAAAGATTTAATTAATATCACTCTTCTGTCAAAATAAACCTCTGTTTTTTTGTTTAATCTTTGTTTTTTTTTAATCTGGAAAAATTATCTCACTCGATTTTTAACTACACATTTAAACGGTATATTTCGCTAAAATTCATCAAGTTTAAAACACGTCACCTGTATGTTGCGTAAAATTTGATATTTACGATGTTGCTCAGAGACAAGAAGGGATTTTAATCAGCGTCACATGAGGCATTATACGGACTGCGAATAGCCCACACATGAAATAGTGCGTGTATTATCTCTTAACGCATAGGGACTTTGCGTGGCTGCAATTTTTACGAGTGCTTATTCGCGGTAGTCGCGTATTTCCTGCCACGGCTCGTTCATATGTATGTATGAGACGAGGGTGTTAACCGTGAAGAGAGCGGAAGGAGAGTACACGAGGGTGCCACGACTTTCTCTTTTCCTCTCCATTCAGACTACTTCCGTTATCCTGGGGGTCCGAACGAGCTCGTCATACAGCACGGCTTTATTATCGCGAAAACATCCTGGAAATAATAGCCGGACGATTCGACACGCGTAATCAGCAGCACTTCATAAAACTTATTCAAAAG